CTGCCCCTTTTTTTCTCTGGAGCAGATGTAAAAGTGTCCCCCCACTGTGACTAATGTATTCCTGTGTATGGTGAGTTCATGGCCAACTGGAATCTGGCAGTTTGAGGACTCACCTTGGCTAACAAGAAAGATGCTCGGTTGTCAGTTCTGGATTCTTTGAGGTTCGGGATACTTCTAAATGCTATGTGCAGATATCAGTGCACTTGTCACAGCTGTAGGCCAGTACAACTGGTAATCCAGAACCATGGTTCAGTGGGGACAGCCATGGAAGAATCTAGGATTTTGAAAAGGGGAATGCATATGGCATGCCACATCATCACACATAAACACAACACACATTTTTTTAAATAGAAACTAGAAGCTTTACCAATATGCTAGCGGGGTAGCACTATATTTTTCAGTTTCAGATGAAAGCAAAACAAATCATTATTGTAACAGTGGGAATTGGACAAGCCAGGCTTGGATTAGATGACCTATGGAGGTTGCTTCCAGCCCTGCTTCTCTATGATTCTGTATGAATGTGCACTAAATTTGCTAGATTATATATAAAGGTTTTAAAAAACACAAAATTAGGCAAAAATAGTAGTTAAACTATATTGTCTCATTAGTCTTATAGTCACTACAGTTAAAGAAACATGCATCTCTTATTCAGAATAATGAAACAAAATCTAGCCTTTTTGAGCATATTGACAGTGCCTCCACTGTTATTCAGTCATTTCCACACCTGAGTTACAGTTTTTAGCTGAAACTTAAAACAGTCTGCAGGGCTGTACAATAGATGAGAGACTTACCAGGAGTGGCTAACAGACAGCCAAATTGCAGAAGAACAGTGTAATAGGGTGAAATCTCCAGGGGTGGCTGTAAGCCCTTGGAGATGAAAAAAAAAAAAACCCTTTTCCCCTGTTTGCTCTGAGGACAGTCACCCCTTGACTCACTTGCCATGCCTTGATGTCTTTTATGGTTATAAAAGGGAGGCTGCCAGGGCTTGCCAGACCTGGTCTCATTCTAATGACCACCTGGTGACTGTGGTCCTTGCCTTAAGGGCTAATTGCATGGCTTCGTTGCACCCCTACACCACTCCAAGCCTCACAGACGTCATCCTCATTGTTGTTCTTTCTTTTACTTTTACACAGCCCACCTCACCCAGCCCCACTCTGGGCCCTCAGACCCCTTAGTCTCTCAACTCAGCCCCTCCCTGGGCTGCCAGACTCCTTGGTCTCCATTCATCCCCTCTGGGCTGTCATACCCCTCCGTCTCCCATCCAACCCCTCTCTGGACCTGTCTCTCTTTCTCTCACTCTCTCTGACCCTCCTCGATTTCTGATGTCCCTATTACAGCCATCCTCATTCTGGGCTTATTTGTCTGACCGCTTCCTCTCCAGCAGTGGCTTCACCTGGACCATCAGTCTATCCTAGGCCCTGGCACTGCCCCGGGCCAGTTGAGAACTCTGGGCCCCTCTCTGGCTCCAGCAGTCTCTCACTGTGGCTGCCTCCACCCTTTGGAGGGCCATGGCCCACTTTATTAGGCCAGCAAGATTGTCTGGGTCACTCATTCTGCTGTCTTTCCTCCTGGAAACTTGTTTCAGCGGGCTCCATATCTTACTGCTGGTCTTATTTCAGGGCCTGGGTTTATACCTGCTCCAAGCCCAGCTGTCACGGGATGGGGTCCTCAAGGATGGCTGTAATCTCCTAAGGCCCCTCAACCATGCCAATTTAGCCCAATGGGCACCCTCAGTTCTCGCCTGCCACATCTTTGATGTGAAACATAAAAATAGGGAGGCTGCCTTTAAGTCCTCTTGGACATAGTTTGATGGACTCTCTGAACCCTGTGGGTTCCCAGACCCCTTGTAGGTCCCATTTCACGATGGGTGTTTTGGGGCACCCTAGCCTTATAGGCTATATGTGTAGCTCCAGCTGCCCCTTTACCATGCCCCAAGCCTCCCAGATGGTACTGGCATTGTCTTGCCTAGTCCTCATTATAATTCAGCCCCTAGTCCTCACTGGGGTCTCCCAAGCCCTGTCTCTGCAACCCTCGGCGCTGGGCTCCCTGCAGCCCTGTCTCTGCACCCGTCAGGGCTGGGCCCTGTGCCCCGTGAAGTGCCACACCCTCTCTGGTGCCAGGGTCCCCACACTGCCGTGGACCCCCAATGAGGCCTCCTCCTTCCCCAAATAGCCTCACCCAAACCACCGGTTTTATAAAACATCAAACAAAACATAAGCCCCTGGGCTATAACATAACACAAGCTACATAAGGTGTGCTTGGCCCCTTCACATTACCTGGAGCAGAACTTAGTCAGGCCTCTTGCCTTCACTCGCTCTAGGAGGGCTCCTTTTCCCTTGGCTGCCAGCAGAGAACTGCCTTCTAGTTCCCATCCTGGGGTTTATATGGGCCCAGGGCCCTGCCCCTTCCAGCCAGCTGACCTGGTACAGGTGCCAGCTAATTTCCTTATTAGCTGGTTGCCATGGCAACCTGCACCTGGGCTCCTGTCTGACTCTTTGGGCTCTCCCCAGGCAGTTTCTGCTCTTTTAGGAGCAGGCACCTAAGTGCCCTGTGACACACCTCCCCCCTTAAGACCCAAACTCACCAGGGTGGGTCTTCATTCTTTATCACCCCGTATTCTTCTTTTTAGGCTTCTCACACTCTTGCCCTTGCTACCCAACAACTGTGGAACATGAAGGTGGAGGTTTTCAGGCACCTCCTGCTCACCTTTTTCCCAAGGATGCACCGTGTGGGATTTGATGGGAGTTACCCCATCATGGGTAGTCCCCCCACATTAGCCAACCTTGGTAAGATGCAATTTCAGTTGGTCAGGCCTCTGGCTTTTCAGGGCCAATGGGGTCCTCCCACATTATGCTCTCTCGCTCTCTCTTTCACCCCAAGCTCTGCAGTGGGGCAACTAACACCTTTTCCTTTCTTCCAGGAGAATTCCTCTCTATCCGTTGGGGTGTCTACTCCCCCTCAACTTGGGCTCAGTTCCATCCCACTCCTTTGCGCCCTGTTCCTCCTCTTGGAGCCAGTCGTGGGGGTTCCTGCTTCCCTATGGCTCCTTGCAAATCCATGAGCCTTCCCCAGATCTCCCACTGCCTTCTTATGGCTTTTTGGGCATTGTCTTTAGCCCAAAACTCTATTTTTCCCTGGCCAGTGGGTCTGCCTCCAGCCTCCATGTACACGTTTATGTAGGCCACACCCCCGACCCTTGCTGCAACCAGCTTCCTTAGGGCCCACCACTTAACTTGCCCTGGGAGGTTGTTAACATACAACTGGGGTCTCTTTCCAGGCCTTTGTTCCCCCCCTTGTTTGAACATCTTTGGCTCAGTGGAACCCCCTGCTCCCTTGTTTGGGTATGCAGCCTGCATCTGGGATGGGGTTTGCCTCAGTGTGAGGTTTAGTGTCCCTCCTTCATTTTAAAACTTTAGGCCCAGCTCTATTTCCTGTAAGGCCTCCTTGGGTGGTCGCCTCCTCCCTTTCATCTCTAGTCCTTCAGCCTGCTTTCCCTTCAGTGGCTCAACTAATCTCCCTCTTCTGGAGCCTCTCTCTGGTCCACCTTGCACTAGGCTTTGAGCCCCTTGTAGTCTCTGTTTCCTCAGTTTTGGGTGTTTCACCCTCTGCAGGCTATCTTGGGGGATCAAGCCCCTGCTCTCGCTCCCTGCGCTTGACTGCACCCTTGTCCCCACAGTTACGATAACTGCTGTACATGTTACAGCTGTCTGGATTCGCTCTGGCTTGGTGGACACCCCCTAGTCATATCTACCCAGGAATTCCTCCAGTGTCTACCTTATTTGGTCTATCTCCACCGCATGGTTGCTCATCAACTGTTCCCATTTCTGGTTCAGGCACTGCATAAGTGCAGATAGGATCTCTTCCCTCATGATCATAGGGTCTACCCTCAAGGATTCCTTGGTCATAGTTCTCTTCTCTATCTGCACTAGGCCCGCCTTGTCTCTCAAACTCTCCGGGCCTAGGTATTCGGATGGCTTCACCTGTTCTGGAGGCCTATGCCCCTCTAGCTGCGTAGTCTCTAGCCATTTCTCCATCTCCAGCAAGGCCTCTTTCAATGCCTCAACCTCCTGCGATTGCCCTTGACATTCGGCTTTCACTACAGCTATGTATTTTGCTAGCTGTGCTCCCAGCACAACCAACCTCTTTTCCATTATATCCATAGCCCCTAGCATTTAAGGCTTCTGCTCTGCTTTGGTAAGCATTGTAACTCCTGTGGCATCTGGCATCTCAATCTTACAGGGACCCTGGGCTTTTGTAGCAATCTGATCCCTCGCCTCTCATAGCCTTTTATTCTCTGCTTCTAGTGCCTGTGCTTGCTGTTTTGCAGCTTGCACTTGAAGCTGTAGCTGCTCACCCTCTGTGCGCATCACCGCCTCTTTAGTTGAGCTGTCTTCTATGAGGGCTTTCAGGAGCTGTACCTGTTCCCCAAGTTGGTCCTTTTCTGTCTCCACCCTCTGCAACTGGGCCTGTAACCCATCGCTCTCCTTATTCAGGGCCTCTATCTCCTTCTCAAGGGAAAGCTTTTGATCCTGCAGTGCTTCGTAATTTGCCATATAGGTTCTCACCTTCTCCATCTCTTTCAAGATCACCTTTTCTGCTTCTTTTGCTTGGGTATGGCTTTCAAGTAGTTTGTCCTGCAGCTCTTGTGCCAGGTGTTCTGCACGTATGCACTTCTGTTGCCAGTCCTCCAACTCCTCCTGCAACCCCTCTATTTGGTCCTCCTGGCTGTGGACTTCTTTCTGTAGGACACCTATAAGGCTTCTTGACACTTCCAACTTTTGTAGCATCTCCTTCTGTTCCCCTGCCTGGGTTGCACAAGCTTCAGGAAAGCTTGATGTCCATGCTGCCATCTCCTTCTGCATCCTCTGCAGCTTCTCTTCCTGCTCCCGGCTCTTCTGGGCTTCATTCACAATAAGCTGTTCTAATGCGCGAATTCTCTCTGCTTCCGCCGCTATCAAGCACCTGACTTCTTTGGAGCCTCCTTCCTTTTTGCCTGCTTGTACCCACTGCTCTAAAGTGGCGACCCTTGTCTCAGCTTGTTCTCTCTGGGATTTGGCTACCTCTAACTCCCTCTCCAACCGTGCTGTTTTTTCCTGCAACTCATCTACCCACAATAGCCAGGTGAAATTCTCTTGTCTCAGGCCCTCTATGTTCTCTGCCTCTGCCATAGCTAAGCTGGTATTACTCCCTTACTGGTTGGGGCCCAAATGGTTCTCCCTGTATAGTCTCTGGCGGCGGTAATTTCCACCACCAGCTCAACCTTCAGAGCTGTGGCGCTGCTGCCCTACTATCGCTCTCTCAATTTCTATGCTAGCCCAAAGGTTCGTTTCCCTTCTCAGGGACATGGGTTCCCTCCCCAAGCATGGCTGGTTTCCCAGCCAATGCACCATTTTTCACGGGATGGGGTCCTCAAGGATGGCCATAATCTCCTAAGGCCCCTCGACCATGCCAATTTGGCCCAATGGGCACCCTCAGTTCCTGTCCGCCACATCTTTGATGGAAAACAGAAAAATAGGGAGGCTGGACATAGTTTGATGGACTCTCTGAACACTGTGGGTTCCCGGACCACTTGTAGGTCCTGTTTCACAATGGGTGTTTTGGGGCACCCTACCCTTACGGGCTATACGCGTGGCTCCAACTGTCCCTTTACCATGCCCCAAACCTCGCAAATGGTACTGGCGTTGCCTTGCCTAGGCCTCATTATAATTCAGCCCCTTGTCCTCACTGGGCTCTCTGCAGCTCTGTCTCTGCAACCCTTGGCACTGGGCTCTCTGCAGCCCTGTCTCTGCGCCCCGCGGCGCTGGGCCCTGTGCCCTGTGCCCCACAAAGTGCTGTGCCCTCTCTGGTGCCGGGGTCTGTGCCCCCAGATGCTGCACCCTCTCTGGCGCCAGGGTCCCCATGCTACCATGGGCCCCCAATGAGTCCTTCTCCTTCCCCAAATAGCCTCACCCAAACCACTGGTTTTATAAAACATCAAACAAAACATAAGCCCCTGGGCTATAACATAACACAAGCTACATAAGGTGTGCTTGGCCCCTTCACATTACCTGGAGCAGAACTTAGTCAGGCCTCTTGCCTTCACTTGCTCTAGGAGGGCTCCTTTTCCCTTGGCCGCCATCAGAGAACTGCCTCCTAGTTCCCATCCTGGGGTTTATATGGGCCCAGAGCCCTGCCCCTTCCGGCCAAATGACCAGGTGCAGGTGCCAGCTAATTTCCTCGTTAGCTGGTTGCCATGGCAACCTGCACCTGGGCTCCTGTCTGGCTCTTTGGGCTCTCCCCAGGCAGTTTCTGCTTTTTTAGGAGAAGGCACCTAAGTGCCCTGTGACACAAACAGTTCTCCTGAGTCAGATGACTCCCTCTATCACCTGCTGGCTGCCTGGATCAGCTGACTCCCAATTATGGATTAATACAACCATTGATCAGTGCATAAACAAATCATACAGAGGCCCTGCCAGAAGCATGAAGTAGGCCCTAAGGAATGTGAAGTTAGGCATGCCGCACCTGCAGGCACCTCTGCAGGCTGCCTGACCTCCTAATGTGGCAGGCACCCTAACTGCCCTGCCACAAATGAATAGTTTGAATAGTGAAACATCAAGACCATTAAAAAGGATAGATGTTTATTAACACCTGTGGAGTAGCAAAAGATTACAGGAACTAGGGAGATGATAGTGCTCCTGCATTAGTAGGAGTGTTGCCAGCAGATTGAGGAAAGTAATTATTCCCTTCTATTCTGCACTGGCGAGGCCACATCTGGAGTAATGTCCAGTCTTGGGCCCCCCACTACAGAAGGGATGCAGACAAGTTGAAGAGAGTCCAGCAGAGGGCAACAAAAATGGTGTGGGGACTCGGGGACATGATTTCTGAGGAGGGGCTGAAGAAACAGGGCTCATTTAGTTTGCTGAGGGAGGGATTTGATAGCAGCCTTTAACTACCTGAAGGGTGGAGCTAGACCTTTCTCAGAAGTGGCAGATGACAGAACAAGGAACAATGGTCTCAAGTTGCAGCAAGGGAAACCAGCACCACCATTGACAGGTGGAACTGTCCCACGTGTTTCCATTTCTGGCAAGTGTGTGAGGTCAGTTTGACCTGGTAAGTGCTGCAGCAAGAACAGGTTTACCAGATAAGCCTAATACCAGCAGAAGCACCTGGTGCAGCTGCATCTCAGTATGGAAAACTGTGAGGCAGTTCTACTCAGTAACATGACTGGAGGGGGAATCAGACACCAGTTTTGACTGTGGCAGAAACAGCTCTGTACCACAACGCTTGGCTGGAACAGTCCTGTACCACCTAGTCAGAGCCAGGTGCAAGGACACCCAGAGCAGATAAGACCACCTTCCCTTCCTGTCCCCATACCCCAGGTCCAGGGGATTTTTACTGAAGTTGCAAAACTCATTAATTATGACTCTGGTTGCAGCTGGTGGTGGAAACACCACCCCAATAGAGAGCCAGTGAGGCAAGCTAAGGCAACATAACAGTGGTTATCAGCTAGGATTCTGCTAAATTCAGAAAGGTTATGGAGGGGTGCCCTTAGCCAAAGAAGGTTGGTCTAGACCAGGGGTGGGCAAAGTCTGGGCCACAAGCCAGATCAGGCCCACAGCAGACTCTATTTCCCAGAAGCCCCTGCCAGTTTTCAGCCCCTGCAGAAACTGCAGCCAGTTTTCATGGAGACCCCAGGAGCAGTGGCACTGTGACAGCATAGGGCCAGGGTTTCCATGGAGACCAGCCCTAGCAGCGCTGGCAGGGCATGCAGATGAGCAGGAAACTGCTCTGGGGCTGGGATCCTGCGGTGGTGACAACATGGTCTGGAGTCAGGGCAGAGCTGCCATCTGCTGCCCTCATGCCCTGTGTGCTGTCACTGTGTTGCCACTGCTGGGGTCTCCATGAAAACTGACTGCAGCAATGTGGGCAGGAACTGCTAGGAAATGGAGTCCAGCTGCCCACCAGATCTGCCATTTTGCCTACCCTTGTTCTAGAACATCAATCCAGCCTGCAGGCCAAATGCAGCCCACAGCATCGTGACATCTGCCCTGCAGGGCTCCCCATCATCCCTATGTATCCAGATCAGGCTGGGCTGCTCTACCACCACTGACCATGTCCAGATTGGGGTCAGGCTGCTCCCCCCCCATCCCACCACCATGCATGTCCAGATCCATAGGCAACTGGTAGGGGGTGCATGGGGGTGCATGCCCTCCCCCCCCCCGATGGGGCTGGTACCAACACGCTGTCAGTAGGGCTGGTACCCCCAACAGAGTCAGCAACCTCTGCGGGTGCCCCCCAAGATTCAGGAGGCACCAGTCACTCATGTCCAGATCAGAGCTACTCCTTCCCCCACTGTGTGCATCTGGATCAGGGCTGCCCTGCCTTGCCCCACTCTACCTAGTCCCAGCCTGCCTCACCCTGTGTATCCAGAACACGACATCACTGCTTCCCCCATATACACGTGTCTAGGTCAGGGCCACTCCACCCAGCTCCCGCCCCGGGCAGATAGATTAAAATTAGGCTGCACAACTCCCTGCAGCCAGATTGATCCCACCAGCCAGATCTGGCTGCAGAGGGACTTGGCACTGCCCATCCAGCCCACAGGGTGAAAAGGTTGAGCACTACTGATATAGAGTAACCAGTCAGGTAATGTTAAAGCATGGGGTGCATTGATAACATCTACTGCTCATTGACTAGCCAATGATTCTTTATGTACATCAATTAGTGATCCTAAGTAGCAATGACTGTACACAGTGAATTTCTACTTTGTACATTTAGAGACCACATGTGGAAAAGGTGCAGGTACTTTCTCCCTCTACTTCCACCTTTGTGCTTCCAGCACAGCTGTAAATCCTGCAAGATGGTAAGCTCAATTAGACATATGTAGATTCTGTTTCTCACTTAAGGAACATGCAGGTTTCATTACTGGGAATTGAAATTCCTGTTTGTTTCCAAGCTAACAACTGAGTGACAGATTTTCCTCCAGCAGGGCAGATGTGAGGAAGCAGACCTACTCCACTTCCTTCATCATTTCTATATAAAGTTGAAAGGAAAATGGATCTGGACCTATTGTTCTTAGGGCTTCCTGGCTCCTTTTTAATAAGCTTCATTTGGAAAAGTAGGACTCTGCCATTCTATATAAGGACAACTACAGAACACATACATCTTACCAGGTTAATGTCCCAGAACTTCTTACTGAATAATGGGCACTAACAGAAGAAAGACAAAATCACAATGAACATATATATTTGATTGTAGATTGCTGAAATACTGTAGACATCTTGCCTACTCCTCCCAGGATACCAAAAGTTATTGCTTTTGTCTATACAAAGTCCTCTCAAATACCTGTAAATTAAATTTCCCTGGCCAGAACATCTCCCTTCTCAGTTTCTCATCTCTGAGACACCTATAAAAGCATCAACCCGTCCTGAAAAGACCTGCCATCACTGTGGTTTGAGAGGAAGAAAGAGGTTTATACAGCCTTATCTCTTTACCCAGCTTATCGTGTTATTATCTACAATATCCAGGCATGAATTAAAATGGTTTGGCTTGGGAGTTATAGGCTTCCTTAAAAATCTGTATGTCTCCATATAACTATAGTTGTTTCACCTATTGAGCATAGAACAGATGCAAGTTACATTTTGCTATATTTGTAACCAGTAATATAGTTTTGCACTATAATCATTTTTAACTGCTATATCTGTATGCAAGGCACATTGTCCTTAGCCTTTATGACTGAGAAAAGGCAAGAATGGTGCAAGGAGCCTCCATTTCTACTTTTATCTTACAGTCATGGACAAGAGACAGTTATTTCCTTTGATCTAGAGTATTGTAGCACTACTTGTTTTGTGTGGTCAGAAACATATATCCTCTTAAAAGACTATATAACCTCTACATCGTTCCATGAAATCAGCTAGGTAGAGTGAGGAGAGCAGGTTACCTTATAAAAAGGGGCAAAACAGAACATATGACAAAATCCTGTGTGGACTGTTGGCAAAGTCAGAATTCAGGCCCTTCACCACCATGAAACTTGATGTAAAAATGTAAAATACTAATTCCATTACATTGCTATTTTTTAGCAAACATTCCACTGGAAGGAACCACTGTGTTGGTCGTGTTTGAGCATGGTAAAATATTCAACCCCTTTCCTTCATCCCTTTTTCCTTGAAAACACAGAGTGAATCAAAGC